ACGACATCGACGCACCATTGCTATACATACGCATTCAGATCGGAGAGGCGACCTGCAATGCCTTGATCGATTGCGGAGCATCTCGCAACTACATCAGCCAGGACTTCATGGTACGCGCCGGCCTTGGCCCACGTGTCCGGAGGRAGTCCCAGCCTACGCAAGTCACTCTGGCAGACGGTCATACGCACGAGTCTATCGACCGGTGCATTGACGCCGTCCCAGTGTACTTTGCCCCTCACACAAGTGAGGCGGTGTCCTTTGACATTCTGGACACCAAATTTGACATGATCTTGGACATATCATGGCTGCGAAGCAAGGATCACCCGGTGAACTTCTTCAACCGCACCGTTCACATTCGTGACCGGAACGGAGTATTAGTTTCATGCACGGTGCCTCTTCCTCATCCTTCGATCAGCTGCCACGTGGTATCCGCCGCAAGCATGCGAGCTTCCATCATCAGAGATGACATCGAGGAGATGGGGGTGTGTTTTCTCCACGCCCTCCCGCCACATAACGCCTCATCGACGGACTCACCTTCGGATCCACACATCACCGAACTTCTCGACGCCTACAGGGACGTGTTCGAAGGCCCGCGCGGAGTAGTACCGGATCGACCCATCCGCCACGAGATCATCCTCGAGGACGGGGCCGTACCTCCGCGCGGTTGCATCTACCGAATGAGCGAGGAAGAGTTAAGTGTGCTTCGGGCACAACTCGACGACCTTCTAGAGAAAGGCGGGATTCGGCCTAGCTCATCGCCATACGGTGCTCTTGTTCTCTTCGTCCGGAAGAAAAACAAGGACCTGCGGTTGTGCATCGATTATCGCAAGCTCAACGCGCAGACGATCAGGAACGCCGGCCCTCTCCCACGCATCGACGACCTTCTCGGGCGATTGGGAGGTGCCCAGTTCTTCTCTAAGCTGGATCTCAAGTCAGGGTACCACCAACTCGAGATTCGCAAGGAGGATCGCTACAAGACCGCGTTCAAGACWCGKTATRGGCATTTCGAATGGYTGGTCATGCCATTTGGCCTTACGAATGCCCCAGCCACTTTCCAAGCGGCTATGACGACGGAGTTCCGACACATGCTGGATCAATTCGTACTTATCTACCTCGACGACATTCTGGTTTACAGCCGGAATCTGGACGAGCATGTGGAACACCTGTGCACCATTTTGGAGCGGCTACGACAGGCCAAGTACAAAGCGAACCGCGACAAGTGCGAGTTCGCACARCAGGAGCTGGAGTACTTGGGACACTATGTGACGCTGCAAGGCATCCGTCCGCTTGCGGACAAGTGGCCCGAGCCCACCAACACCACGGRCGTYCGTTCATTCATGCGGTTGGCAGGCTACTATCAGCGATTCATCACTGGATACTCCAGGATTGCTGCACCTATGACGAGGTTACAGTCGCCAAAGGTGCCATTCGTATTCGATGACGATGCACGCCGGTCATTCCAAGCACTTAAGACGGCTATGCTCATGGCACCCGTCCTTAGCATCTATGACCCCACCCTGCCGACGCGAGTGACTACGGACGCTTCCGGCTATGGCATTGGGGCAGTCTTGGAACAGCACGACGACAACGACTGGCACCCTATGGAGTATTTCAGCCACAAAGTGCCTCCCATCAACTCGCTTGATGATGCAAGGAAGAAGGAGCTGCTCGCATTCGTGATGGCTCTCAAACGCTGGCGGCACTTCCTCCTTGGGCGTCGTAGGTTCACATGGATCACAGACAACAA